AGAGACTGCTCATCCTTTCAAAATCAAAATCTCTTTAGATTCCAACATGTACCACTGACTGACTTGCACTGTTTCTGTGGGGTTTTATAAATGTATATGCGTGCAAAATCCTGGAAAAGTCAGTGCTGGGCCAGAGAGAAGCTGCAAGAAAAAATACCTGTAAATAAAAATGGCTGTTTCAGTGTCAGTTATAATGGGGTTTTTTCCCCCCTTCTTTTTTCCTTTGGAAACTTTCCCTTATGCTGTATACAGTGCAATGGGATGCTTGTGTCCTCAACAATAAATTATCCATGGATTCTGGTAATCAGTCATGTTTGTAGTTTTGAATTGTATTGTGAGTTCTGATGCCTAGTCTCTGATGTTGAAGAAGTTGCAGATGTCTTTAAAAGAAAACATCCTGCTTAAAATATGCCCTTTTTATGATCATCAACAGTCACCTTAGTATGGCTGTGTAATGAAACAGACTTTTCTGTTCTCTTTGTGGTTTTATTTCCATTTAGCAGTGACTTTGCCTAATCCACTTTTAATAAAAAGGAAAAATATGAAAGAAAATACTTTTCTTTAGTATTTGTCTAAGAAAATCTCTTCTTGGCACTGATTAGCTCTCAGCCTACTCCCTATTCATATGATCTGTTCAGATGTCTGTGGATGGTAGTTAGAGAGTGGATTTTAACCTCAGTTCATAAACAATTGTGCCTTCTTGTAGGTCTTGTTGAATAATGATGAATATCCAGATTTTTGATGCTCAGAACCCCTTCCCATAACTGCAGGCAAAGCAGCATTTTATTGCTGCTCTTGCGGTTTTTTTCTGCCCTTGCAGAGGGTCAGTAAGTTTTCTGATGCTGGTAGTAACTTCCCCCCTTTTCCCCTGCTTTGTTCTTTTCTTCTGGAGCCTGTGGAAGGAACATGGAAGATGGTTTGGATGCTTGAGGGCCTGCATACAGGATTTAATCTCAATATTTATCTAGATCAAATACTTACAGCTATACTGATCACATGTACAGAAGGAAGCCCCTCACACCATACACCTGATGATCAGGAGAGTTGTCCACTTGGCAGTAGCTAAATAATCACTGTGAAATTACCAAATCCTACAGAAATGTATCAACTCTGCAAGGAGGTGAAGCTAGTTTAGATTTAAATATGGAAGGAATTCAGATTACTTCTGTCACTTTTGAACAGACTGTAGTGCCTGTGAGATGAAGTGAGCTGTCCATCAGCTGATGGTTTGTTACTCCCTGAGCAGGGAGGTTTTTCTGTCATTGCTCCATGTATTTGCTTACTCTGGGAACAGACTGAATAGATCCTGCCTGCCACTGCAGGGAGGAGCAGAAGAGGGACAGGCAGGGTGCAGGTTTGGGAGCTGCTAAATTTTGAGGAGGTTTATAACTGGAGATTGCTCCAGTCTGCTAACTCCATTCTGCTCCTCTTCCTTTCCTCTTTATTTTCAGATGGTGAAAGACCATTTTACTTCATACACATGACAGAACATCAGTTGATTATAAATAGGATTAAAAATCCAGCCCCTCAAACCGAGATGCCGTGACATAGATGATGTGTGCATGTATCAGTGTGGGGGACTGAGGATGTTTGTGTCGGGTGTTGAAGAGAACCAAGTGGTTGTGTAAGATGTCTCCTGTACTAGAAGCAGGCTGAAATTCTTCCTGTCCCACAAATGAAGCAATCCTTAAGGGGGAAAAAATAAAATTAAATCCACTTAATTCTTGAAGGCTCTTTTGCATCTGTCAGCATCCTGGAGAGACTGCTTTTTGCCAGGATCCTTCTTTGGTTAGCCAAAATTTGTTCTCTCTTCTCACAGCAGCTGGTCATTCAAACTCTACAGTGATGTTTGTTTGTAAATAAAAGTATGTTGTTACTGTATCTTAACAACAGAGGCTGACATTTACTTTGGGAACCAGTGTGGTTTTCTGGTTTAGTTGGATATTTTGATGTAAGCCAAAGGAAAGAGTTTACTTAAAGCTAAGCAGATGAGAAAACATTTACATGAAACCTGGAAAGACTTCTTAGTGATGAAGTTGAAAGCAGGAATATTTCCACTGCATTGTAATAAGACAGGGGCATTCTTTCCTTTTGTACATATTTGTGTGAAAAAAGAGTGTTGGAGAGCATGTGGAGCAGAAGATGAATGCAGGAGGATTTGCTTTCTGGTGTGTTGAGGCTAAGCAAATATTCAGACAGTCTTATTTTGCTGACGGCCTTGCCATTGAGACATCCAGTTTTAAAGAGACTTGCTGTAAAATAGATGAGCCACAGTGTCCAGTCTTTCACAATTGCATGGGAAAAAAAGAAGTTATCCAAAGCAGAAGTATTTGATATGTACAGAAAAAGAAGATCTGTTGCCAGAGACTCTTGTATCACAGTCTCTGCAAGCTAGTAGCTCTGCTACGTTTTTTATATGCAAGTAGTTTTCCCTTTCAAAGATGAAGACATAAAGATAAGTTGTGCTGGCCTTGCAAAATACAAGTGGAAGTTTGCTGAGTTGGAAGGTCAGTGCGTGGCCAGCTGGAGTCCATGGGAGGGTCACCACTCTCTCTGATATTGAGTTGCAGGCTCTGGCAAAGTTGGCAGCATTGACATCAACAAAATGGAAGACACCCTCCCCCCTTCCCCTAATTTTTTTCTCTCTTTCTCGCTCCCTCTCTATCTCTTTCTGTGTGTATTTAATACTACTCACCCTTTCCCTGCTCTGGAGTTTGACCCTTCCGTCCTGCCAGCTTTCCCATTACTGCTTGCATGTAGCTTACCTCAGTGTAAAGCAGTGTGGACAGGAGATGAAAGCCTTTCTCTTGCAGTACACTTACAAATAAACTCTTGGTTTGGAGAGCTGAGCAGTGGGTGTGTGTGTTGCTGAAAGGCAGCTGAGGAGGGGAGCAGGCAGGAACAGGAGAGGGTGCAAGGCTCCGAAACTGAAGCTGTTTCTCTTCTGGAACTGAGGTGCTTGACCTTGAACCTTTTCCTTTCAGCTGCCTGGGATTATTTCTGTTGTTAAACTGCTGTCTGTGGACTCAGGCTGTGTAATAAGTGAGACGAAGGCCTAATCCCTCTCCAAGGCAACCAGACAGTTCAGAAATTAAGGAATTCTGGCAGTTGGATACGTGTCGTGTGACACGGGCATTAATGCTAGGTTGTGCTGTGATGCCAGCGTGTTTGGAGGGGTTTTAGAAATGTAGCAAGTAACAGATACAAGTTTGCATTGCTGTCAGACAGAAATCAGCTGTGTCATGTAGAGGATAATGATGTGAGATGGCTTTGCACTGATCCTGAAGTTCCTCTGACTGCATCAAGTCCCTTCAGACAAGAAACTGGAGTGAAAATGTGAATGGCAGAGCTAGCGGCTGGGCAATATGTCTGAAATTTTTTTTATAAATACTACATTTCTTTGAAGTGTGTCCAGAATTACTCAGAAATGGTTCTGTCTTATGTGCTAGACAGTGTACAACCATGTCAACGTTCTGTGTAAATGTCAAACAAATTAAGATGGCTTTAGAAGAATCTGAATAGGAAAGGGCAGGATATTTAACTGTAAATAGAAGGCTTAGGGAAATGTCTTCATGGACAACAAAATGAATCTATATTTGTGCTGTGGCTTTATGTCAAATTCAGGAATTTAGTAGGACTATTTGGACAGGCTTTTAGCAGTGCTCAGTGTTTAATTATAAATAGCAAAGTTACATGGCAATGAATTGTCTTCTTACAGATACTGGAGAAATGTAAGTTTGTTTAATCTTTGTATTTGCCTTTAGTGCATTTTTACCTTTAAAAAACCTAAACTTCTTACATCCCCTAGCACTAGTGGCACTGTTCTCTGTTCTTTTTTGATTTTCCCCTGCTTGCATTTGAATTTTGTGGGGTATAGCATGTTCATTTTCTTGCAGTACAAGCTGTACAGACACCGAACTGGGCAAAATGGTTTCAATATTATAAAATGGTTTATTCCTGCTGATGATGAAGAAGGTTGAACTCAAGGCACACGAGTATTTCAGTCTGTGTGGGTGTGAAATAGGACCATTGAGGACTTTTTCCTTTATTTAGTGTCTACATTGCCAGCTCTGCTAAAGCCTGAAACCTCTGGTGTCACAGATGGCAGTGGCCTCTGTTGGCTCCAGGAGGTGGCCAAGCACTAAAGAAGGTTCTCAGGCTGTGCTGGACTGTGAGGACAAGGTTGCACCAGTGTAAATGGCTGAAGTGTCACAGTTCCTGGGCTGATACATGAGAGGGGTTACAGTGCAGCTCCTTTGTTTTCTTACCTAGGTTAACTGCTCAAAATGAGTAACAATAGGAAAAGTATCCTGTTTTTTTTAGTAAGTAAATTCTTTAGACTGATACACACGGGACACGTCTGTTTATCTTGAAGGGTCATCTTCTTCATAGCAATTTTTTCTGACTAAAACTATGAAGGCATGAGAGTTTCAGTGTTATCAGAATGGCCTCTGTCATCATTTCTCCTGATTTCGGTTGCAGCTGAGTAGTCTGACAGACAGCACTTTGTTCAGTCTGGTCTCTGATTTTAGAGCTAACTACCCACATTTTTCCCACATATATTTAATAGCTTATTTGTGTTAGTAACTTTCTGCAATGGTAAAAATGGGAAGCTTGTACAATTGGCAATATTGTATTACTAGCTTGGGTGAAAGAAATATGTACCAAACAGATGTAATTGGTAAAGACTGCAGGCAATCTGCAAGGTGCTGTAGCATTTTTAAGTTGTTTGAAACTTCCAGCTCATGTGTTGAGCAATCATAGTTTTCAGAAAATTTTGTGTCTTTGTTTCTTTTTATTTAAATATGAATGTATATGATATCTAGCAAAGCTTTTATCTGATTTGGAATCTGTTTAAAATGAAGGAGAACTCTGATTTCATTTCATGCCTGAATTTACCTTATGGTACTTTTTGCATACCTGATATTTGTTCAGCTTCACAGTCTGGAGCAGATGGTAACATCATCTATTTGTTCACTTTACTGTTACTCTCATTGCAGGAATGCAATTCCTTGACTTTTGGGAAGAGATGAAGAGAGTGATTTCAGATTCTGAATTGGTGTCTGGTATTCCCGACTCACCTGCAGTACCAGGACTGATACAATATCTCCAGAGCATCACCAGGCTTGTAATATCAGTGCTGTCAGTGACTGCAGGGCCTGACCTGCAGAGCTGTGCTTCAGCAGCTGCAGAGGACACGGCCAAGCCCTCGCTGTCAGTGGCTCATCTCCTGCACTGTGAGTTCCACGAGGTGCGGCTGCTGGCGTTGGAGGCAATTCTGCTGGGCCTGAGACAAAGAAATTCCAAGCAGATTGCAGAAGGAAGAGGAGGTGCATTATGTTTACCCACTGATTTGGAAGACACTCTTCTCAGAATGGCTTTGAAGGAAACAAATCCCCAGTGTTTTTGCAAGGTAAGAGGATGCTTTTTTATTGACATTTTGTATGTTTTCAGTAAATTAATATGTTTTTAATTTTTAGATCATACTTGTAATTTTCAAAAATATATTTCAAACATGCGTTATGCTTTTTAAATAGTAGTTGAGTGGTTGGGTTTTTTTTACACTGAACAGGAGCTGTGCAGATTTTTGTAACAGATGTTCCTGTGTAAAAGCAAGAACTTCCTCTTTCTTTTCTTAGAACTGTCCAGAGAGATTCCTATTGTTCTTGGAGTGGAGCTTAAGCCAGTGTTTTATTGATCTCAAATGTGCACATTCCTGTTGAGACTGTCTGTAAATTCTTTGTTTGTGGATTGTGTCTGCAGGTGCTGGAAATTCTTTACAATATGGATCTCAGAAATGTTCTTCCAAAGACTGAATGTTCCATAAAAATGAATCCAAATCAGCTCTTAACCTGGAGTTTAAACCTTGTAGATATCTCCAGCAGGTATGGTCTGTCATGCATGTTGAAATATGAAAAATGTTTACATTTTAAAAGCTTTCAATGTTGAACATTAATATATTGGTTTGGGGCTGTACTTTCATTTAAAAATCTGTGTTTCAGAAAAGAGAGTGTGGTGTATTTGAACAAAGTGGGTTCGTGAGAATTTTTCAGAGAAGTAAGACCTTTATCTGAATTATTCAAAAGGCCTGCAAGTAATACTAGCGCCCTGCAAATGTCCAGTTGTACAGTTCCTGAAACAAAAAGTTACTTTGGCTGTCCAGTGATAGCCAGTGAGCATAGTTCTTCCTGAATGGTAACTGGGAAACACCCACTTTACTGTAGAATTAACAATTAGTGTTAATGGTGCAGCCCTACACTCATTTGCTGTGAATCCGCCATCCCTCCTATCCTGGTTTATGGGCAGATGGTTTGTAGAAAGAGCAGCAGATCTCATTTAACTTGTTGGATTGGCAGAAATGGTTAATCCTAATCCTTAGGGTTTGCACTCCTTACACAGACTGTAAAGTCAGCAGAAAGCACTGGAAATCTGGAGCCAGATTGTAGCTCCTACTGAATTAGAGCTGTGCCCATGCATTCACAGTGGAATGCTCAAACAGGCTTACAGTGTCCAGACTAGGGATATGATATCCTGTTTCTGATGGTTTTTTAAGCCATGCAAACATTGCAGTCCAATATTACAAACATTGAATATAGAGAGTGTAGAACTGCATTTTATAGCTGTGCATATTTACTGCTGATTTGCACTAAATTGTTCTAGTTCAAATGATGATGATGGGGAGTGGTTATTTCTGGGATGAAGTAAGGTACTGGAGGTAAAATACCTCTGACTGATGCTGTTGGAGGGAAGGGGCTGGAATAGCAGGCCTTGCTGCTCAGGTGTTGCCATTCCCCATGGTGGGAATAGGCTTCAGCAGCCACAGTGCCCTGAGCCATATCCTTAGATCCTGCTTAGCAGCTGTAGAAGAGATATTCCTGCAGCTAAATGCAAGCTTCAAGAGATGCATTTGTTCACAATTTAAAATAATGTCTGGTTTCTTTGACTCAGGTTCAGGTTCTTTGACTCAAGTGTGTTCTTCTATGAGAAATATGTAAATAGAAAGTAAACGTGAGAGAAGTGAAAGTAAGGGCATGTTTTGTTTGCATGTCAGCTGAGAACTTAGCTAACATCTAGATCTCTAATGTAAAAGCTTCAGGTGCTCAGCTTGAAAAATATCCAATTTCTGGTGATCATCAGAAATAATTAAGAGCTGGCTGGTTTTCTTCTAGAGGTGAAATGATGACAGAAATAGCTGGCTTTCTGATATGTCATTTGCCTTTTTTTCTCAGCCCTGAAGGTCAAACCATAGCTCTGAAATTTGCCTCCAAATTGATTATCCACCTTTTGCAGAACCATCAGCAGGTAAGGCAAATAGAGCTAGTTAACAGTTTTGTAATCCTGGAATTTTTAGTGATTGCAGTAATGTGGCTTCTTTAGATAAAGACCCCAATCTTGTGTTTTCTTGTGTCCATTCATCATTTTTGACATTCATCATTATGTCTTCCTCTCTGAATACACTGCCATGTTCTGAAATGACACAGCCATGAATATCATCTCAGTACATCCCTCTCAAAGTAATTTCAAGTTAAATACATACATAAATATTTTTGATGGAGTAATTTCAGCTTCTGAGCTCATCCAAATGGTCACTATAATGTAGAAAGGGAAATGCCTGTGGTGTTTAATGCTTGTTCTGAATTCAGCCCATTTACTGAGCAGCAGCTTTGTTGTGGTTTCTTGATTTTTGGAGAGCCCACAGGAGAGCACGTCGGGTAGGAAGGCACGAAGCTGAAGCAGTGGTTGGGTGCAGTTCCCAGCCAGCTCAGATTTCTTTTGATTTGAAATTGTCAGTCTGTGATGTCACATATATATGTGTAGAGCAGTGCAAAAGCAGCTTTAGTGCTAGATATTTAAAAAAACATTTACAAATCCACTTGGTGGATATTTTAAAACAAACAAAACTCTCATGATCTGTTTTAAAAGGAAGATTATTTTCCTTACAAAGCTAGTATTTTTCTTAGAATGAACAGCAGAATGGTTTCTTTTTATATGCTAATAACCATGTCTCATTATAAAAAATATAATATCACATTTGCACACAATTGAGGAACATGAATTATTATATTAAAACTTTTTAGTTAAAGGAAAGGCATAGTGAGTACTTGAAGTTAACAAAGCAGAATTAATGAAAAGTGCTGTAAAAATCTTAAATTGAAATGCTGCAACAACTTTCTCTAATAAGCATACAAATCATGGGAGATCTAAGATATACTTACAGAGAGAGCTTTTGGCTTTGGGAAAGGCCAGGTACATCAGATTTCCATCTAAATTCTTTCTTTGAGCTTGCATTCAGTATTTACATCTGTGGAAGGGATTTTCTCTTCCATGAGGTAAAACTTAAGTTCTGTCCTTCTAGATAGTTCATCCATGTGTCTGCTTGAAATTTGAGTCATTGTAACATCTTGGGAGATTTTTATTTTTTGTTTTCACCTGTTACAAAATCTGTAGGACACACTCTGTCTGTGTCCCTTTGTGCAGTGCAGGTACATGGCCCTGCCCCAGGCAGAGTGAGGCAGAGTATGATGAGGTTTCATTTACTCCTCAGTTAATGAGGTTGGTTGAGAGCTGGCTGAATGCACATCCCACAGGGCCATAAGCAGTGTCACAGGGTCTAGCTGGAGCCCTGTCACTTGTGGTGTCCCAAGGGTCGGTACTGGCCCCAGTATTGTTTAACTTCTTCATCAATGACTTGGGTGAAGGGGCAGGTGCCTCCTCAGCAGGTTCACTGACAGCACAAAGCTGGGAGCAGTGGATGATACCCCAGAGGGCTCTGCAGCCCTTCAGAAGGACCTGGACAGGCTGGAGGGATGGGCAGAGAGGAACACCCTGAAATTAGGCAAAGGACCAGTGTATTTGTCCTTGGCATGCATGTGTAGAAGGACTGAGGACACCAAAATACTCCTTGACTTGTGTAGTCATTGGTGACTCTGCTGTGAAGGGGCAGAGTGAAAGACTTGCCTGTGTATACTGCTCTAACTAAAAGAAAATTTCCCAACTTTTAAATGTTCATTTGGGTTTCACCACTTCAAAAAAACTGGACATTTACTAATGAGCAGTCTCCCTTAGGCAGGCCAGGGTTCAATGTGATGGTAAGAGGTGCAGCATACTTCTCACATGTTCTGTGCCTTCAGATTCCAGAAGAAGTCTTGAAAAAATGGGTTCAGCTGATAATGTATTTTTGTGAAGATGAGCAAGAGACAGAGATGCTGTTAGCAGCTGCTGAAGTTCTTAAAAGTATAACATCATTCCTTCTGAGCAGTGAGAAGCTCATTCTTGGTAAGTAGCGTGAAAGAAATTTTCTGGATCTTTTTTTCTGAAATCCATTAATACATGATTTCAAATGTATGTGTATGCATGCACAGTCAAAACATAATTACATCATAGAAGGTTTTTTGAAAATTTTATTAGGATTTAATTACTAAACATATAGATTTATTTAAATTCTGGTAGAAAAAGCGCATGTGCCCAGCCTCTGGCAATAACTCAGCAGAAGGGGCACATGAGGTGTTGTTATGTCTCCAGGTCACTCTACACTGGTGTACAGAATTACTGGCTTGCAATTGTTCTGTACTTGAATCTTTCTGTAGTACTCTGTTGGTGGGCTGGACATAGTTTGGGTGAACACTGGGAGTGTAACAAAGCTCTGCTGGCTGAATGTTGGCACGAAGGTCTTTGGTCTAGAAATGAGAGACATGTTCTACTATGAGAATAATTAATAATTGGATCACATTATATCTCCCAGGTATAAGGATTTTTGTTCGAAGTTAATATTAGACTGTCTCTTTAGAAAACAAAGAAAGAAGGAGAACAAAAAACCCTACATGGCCTTATTCAATAGTACATATAGCAACTGGGAGGCAAAGCTAAGTGAAACTGACTTGTTCTGGAGAATAGATGGGGTTTTTCTTTTAGCTTTTTCCCCCCCTGCCTTCTGTGAATAGAAAATGGGGAGATTTTGTGACTAAAGGGACAGGAGATAGGCAAGAATATGTAGTACCAGATGGTAAAGAACTTCTTTTGCATCCTGAACAGGACAGACAGTTTTAGATACTTTTAACTCCATGATACTTCATTCCAGTGTAGTTATGTAAATGTTTTTAGTTTAAGTAGCTTCAGTCCATCCATGTGGCCTGGATACAAATCTCTGTTATACAAAAAGAACAGTATATTTCCTAATCTGTAGGCAGTGGTTTTGGGGAAAATTAGGTATTATTTTGAGATGTGCCTTTTAAAAGAGGTATTGGTAACATTGACCAGAGCTAAATCTATATGAGGTAGACATTGCAGTATTAAGTGTTCATAGTATCGGCTCTGGAAATCTTAACCTTCACCATCTAGATAAAGCTCTTCATAATACAGACATCATTACCATTTTATGTCAAATGAAGACAGTGGAAGTATTGGAGTGAAAACCCCCCAAATGCTGTGCTACTCATCTGTTGTTATTTGGATGTGGTCCATAGATGATGGACAACACTTTCCTCTTTGATTTTGTCAAAACAGTTGCTGATTTCCATGCTTTCCAGTCAGGCAGATGTGAAGGTCTGAAATAAAACATAGCAGCAGTTTGTATGCTGTGTGTAAAATCCTAACAAAACAAATGAAAACAGACAAGTAAACAAAAATAAATGCTCCCCAAACAGCCCAGAAATTAGAGCCCCAAGTCCTCAGTGGGCAAACCATCTGAATTAGCTCTTTGCTCTGAAAATTGATCCAGGGGAAGAAAGATGTAGATCTCACCCTTCATAGTACCTAGAATTGTCAGTCTGGGGATGTTCACAACTGTGAAACTGTCAGTACTGCAGTGGGGAGGTTGGCAAATCAAGGGCATGGGCTGGTGATTAGTTGTAGTGATGTAAACCCAGGATAATTCCTTTGAAGGGTCTGTGTGCAAGTAAACAGCTCTGACTTCTGTGCCTTCTTCTGCATCAGCTTGCTTGACCACAAATAGTAAAAAGTAGGAGTTAAAGGAAACTGTGATTGTATGAAATGGAATTGTAGTCAGTCCCAAGAGCTTCCATTACTGTGTTCCTAAGAGAAAGAGGGTGAATGGCAGTCTGTATGTTCTGGGTGACCCCATCATCTCTTCATCAAGCTGCTCGAGGGTTCAGAAAAGGGTTTTATGCAAATTCTCTTTGTAGACTTCCACTGCTTCTGGAGATACAATAGAAACTTGTTTAGGTGGGAAATCTGAATATTGAATCTCTAGGAGAATAATTATTCTGCTCTGTACCAGTATAATATTATTGAGTGTGTCATGCTAAGAAAAAAAAGCACCTTCTTCCTGAAGTAGTTAAACTTCATGCCATTGCCACATAGGGAAGTTACAGGTAATACAGGAATGTGTAGTAAAGCCTGGAGCAATTTACTTTGGCCAAGCAGCGAAATACAGCTATGTATTTGTCTGGCTAGCCTTGTAATACAAATCTCTGACAAACCTGCTGAAAACATGGTAGAAGAAAACCAGCAGTGAAACACAACTCTAGTGTTGTCTGTGGTCACCAGAAAGTAATATCTCCCAGCTGTCTGCATCTTGAAGTGAGCTTCCAGTGGATTCCTTCAGTCAGGATGTTCAACAAGACCTGAAAAGTCAGCTGAAAAACACCTGGGAGTACAGACATGTGACTTGAGCTAGTCATGCATGGCTTGTGAAGTGTGGGTTGCCACTGGGGTGGTGTGTGCTGTCTGCCTGCTTGGGCAGTACCAGATCAGCACCTCCCTCTTGGCACTTCTCTCCGGTTAGTCTCACCTGTGTCCGTGCAATCACCCCATGGATTGAACTGGTTTCCAACAGAGAGTGGGTGTAGGGCTGGCAGGGCCTGCTGATGAGTGCTGGGGACACTGCATGTGGGAGAAGGAGGTGACAGTAGATCCCTGGAAGGTGTGGTCAGCAGCTGTTTCCAGCAGGGAATGGCACTTCTGTCCAGCACCACTGGCAGTGTCTGAAGAAAGCTTGGTTTGGCAGCCTCTGCTCCAGGCAGATTGCAGCAGCAAATCCATGAGCAGTGTGTTAATCAGTGATCAATCTCCAGCTGCAGAATTTTTGAAGTTGCCAAACAGGAATTCTGCACTCCTAGAAATTTTAGAAAATGGAGAGCATTCATGACTAAAGTTGAACTCAGATAGAGAGGCCCATTCTCTTATCTGTTGCCCACTGTTTAAACCAAGCTGAGTCTGCCACCTAGATAAGGTTCACAGATGCTGAAAATACTTTGGTTTTATTGCCAGTCTTTCTCCCAGTGGTTTGTCAATGCCTTTCATGTCTTGTGTTTAGGTGTGGAAACAAAGCTTTCTAACTTCTTTGAATGCATATAAGAAATAAAGCTCTAATTTTTCTCCACATATAAATATAGGACTGTCTGATACCCTTGGTCTGTGGAGATGTGTGATTCTCCTGCTGCAGAATGAAGACTTGGTAGTAAGGGATGCTGCTGCTGAAGTGATACAAGTGGCACAGTCAGAAAAAAAGAGCAATGAAGGAACAGGTACGTTAACATTACTTTTAAATATTATTGAATGTTTTGGAGGCAAAAGTGTTTCTCTTCTCATCACAAATTTCTTGCTAACTGTAAGGTGCTTCATCCATCTCCTAGAATTATGTACCATAAAAGATAACACCAAATTTGATGCCCACCATGCTTTATTATTTTACCTTGACTGTTCTTAGTTTAATTTGCATATGATTACGTGGAGATGTAAAAAAGACAACAGCAGGACTCAGCTTTATGGTTTGTGCTGTGATGAGTCAATATTCACATAATTTCAATTTGAAGGCTCTTTAATACTAGCTCTGGTCTAATAATACAATTCAAGACACTCCTTGAATCCCACGTTGTTATAAGAGCCTAATCACAGATAGGAATCTGGGAAGCAGTATTCAACTCATTGATTCATTATTAGACCTTGAAATCCATTTAGATCCAGATCAACAAAGACAATTCACAGCATAACCACAATGTGCTTCTAAGGATGTGGGCCTTTTGTCTCCTTGCCCTAATTTACTCAACTCTGTTAATTTTAAAATAGCCACAAAACTTGAGTAGGCTTAACTAATTTACATGCTTCACTTTGAGAGTCTTTGCTGACACATTCTTCCGTGTGTATTAGAGTTTACTACCAAGCTCATCACTCTCTGGTGGTCTCTGCTTTGTGCTAGTCAGTAATGCCTGTACCAACTTGTCTGCAGTCAGTTCAAATTAGTCAGCCCTCTCCATGTGAACTTCTGCTAGGTTGGAGATAAAGCAGCTCTCTGGTTTAGAAAAAAATAAGAAACGGCAGTAAAATAACGTTTGCCACTGTTGTAGATAGAAGTAGCCAGGAATCTGCTCATGTGGCAGGTGTGGTTTTGAGCTGGCACTGTTCAGGCACAGAGCTGTGGGGTAGAAGAAGGTAAAAGGAGGGATATGGCATGGGCAGCTTTCATCTTCCTGGTAAATCCCACAGCTCTGACAGTTTCTCTAGTCCCAGCTACAGCTCTCTTGAGTATCAAGAGGCTCTGTGTGCATGTGCCTCAGGTCCCCAGTGCTGGCCTTTGGGGGCATCCTCAAATGTCTCAAGATGGTCCTTTCTTTGAGAGTGATATGGTGCTGGATTGTCTCTCTGAGCACTGTATCTCCTCCCTTCTTCCCTGTTGTATCCTGGTGCCAAGGGATATTTTCCTGTAACTGGGTGAGACCTCTGTCCTCTGTCTCCTAATTAATGCTAAGATCACCTCAGTGCTTGTTCTTATAGCTTACCACTTCGTAAAGCTGAAGTGACCATAATTGAGAAGATAACATAATAATTGTTTTTTATTTGTTATGTTCCTAATTAGGATAGGGACCCCACTCCCCAAACTTCTGTTAACCCCTTAGTTACACTTAGCTGTGCCTTCCTGTTTTTTCATTTAAATTTCTTGCAGTGAAATGAATGTCTGTCTTCTGTGACTAGAAGAGAATGCTGCATTTGAAAAGAGATAATTCAGTTTCCTTTCATGTCCATTTTTCATCATTGGTATTCCTTCTTGTGATCTTTTTTCCTCACTTAACTCTTTTCAGTTTTTGTGATTTGCTTCCTAGCTTTTGGGGGAGCAATTTTGCCCTTGTGGTTTTTATTTATAACCAGAATAAAATAAACTCATCTTTGTATGTTGTTTGTTTACTTTCATTTACCCCCTTTCTTTTCATGTTCCTGTGAGAGTATGCAATATGTTTGTGTCTGTGGTTTAGACTTTTCATGGATCACTAGACCTCTCTGTCGTGGGAATTTTTAAATTACATTCAAATATCTGCTTTTATTTTCAAGTTTTCATACCATGAAAGTCTGATTTTTCATCACAGGACTGACTTTAAGATAACTGAACCCACAGACTGAAATAGATAGAAGCTGTGAAACAGCTCTCTAAAATTCTTACTTTATAACAAATTACTGGATATGGTAAATTGACTGAATTTTCATTTCCATTATACAATGATAAATTAGTATTGTGGCCCAGTAGTTTTGTCGTGAGATCAGAAAGATGACTTGAGATCAGAAATAGGAATGGATGTTTAGAAACCTGTTTTTATACCTTCTCTAATTGTTTCACTTTTATGTCATTACCATTACCACTAGCTAACAGGAGAGAGTAAAGAGACAATTATAATTTCAGCTTCATTTGTGCATCAAAAGTGTTGTGTTCTAGTAGCCATTATATTTCCAGAAATACTGCACTGTAGGAATGGGTTATGGTGTGTTTCATCTTTTATTGCTGTTAATTTGCCATACAGATAGGAGGAATGCTCTTCACAAAATACAAGCTCTGGACTTGCCAGAAATCTTGGTGCTAGCATCTTCATATCCAATCCTCACAAAATTCTCTTTTCTCGCTGTGTGCACAGCATGCAAGGAAGGAATAGCCTATAGCTGCCTGCAGAAGATCTGCTTTTATTGTCAGCTTAGGGAATCAATGTCATAAGTGCTACATTTTTATTGAAATTCACAAGAATTGGTGATTATAGCCTAGCAACTGCCCCTGCCCTTCTTGTGTAATACTAGCTGGCATCTTGTTTTCATGTGGAAGAGTAGAGTAGGAAAGGTGATGTACTTGTGTGTTACAGTCAGACCAAGGCTGAATTAGCATCCTGTTCAGCAGAATAAGGTGAAGTTGAATTGTTGTTAACAGTAGCAAAGTCTATTTGCATAGACTGTTCATAGGGTTTTTGTAGCATGGTTCTCCTTTACATGCCTGCTACTGAATAACAGCAGAAATGCGTGGCAGGATGATAGTGTCAAATAATAGGTGTTTTAATGTCATTTAGAGATAGTGAAACTGGAGGCAAATGATCCTCTCTATTATAGTGTGGTTTCACTTCCAGTAACAGCTCCTATGTTGTGTAATTCTTTGAAATGCTACATGAGCTCTCCTGGAGGAGAATATGAACTTGGTTTCTTATTTTTCCCTCATGGTTTTGTTGAGGGCAAAACCCCCAGTCTCCTCAGATAACTAATCCATGCAGCTTTGGATCACTGAAATTAGGAAAGCCATAAGCAGTGGAGTCAGAAATGTATGGTAACACGTGTGATACAAGAGCCCTGTGGAAATTGCAGCCCCAGGAGAAAAGTTCAAAAGACCAAAGGCTGATACACTGCAGGGCCCCTATCCTCACCCTACCCTGCTATTTACCCCCGAGCAAAACCCTACAAGCCCTACTGTTTTCTTATAGAAGGCAAGAGCCTCTACTGTTACCACTAAAGTTCACTTCTAAAATGTATTTTATTCATACAGAGAAGCTTGTTTTGTGTTTTTAGTATGTGCAAAAGCTCACATTCAGAAGGGGAAGTTACTGAGGTTGGATGATGGCAGTCATTTCTGAGCAGGGCAGGTCAAACAGAATCCTCTCTCATCAGAAAGGAGGAAAGCTTCTGTTTTCCTTGCTAAAAATACCAACTTAACAGGTAGTTAAGGTTTTCCTAATAAGTGGAACAATATAATCCCCATCTGTAACTCAGGGTATTGTGTGTACACTTTGTTTTTGTTTCCTCATGCATTGAGGTGTAAACCTCTGGCAGATTGTTTTATTCCTTTTAGTATGAGGGAGGGTACAGGAAGTATTGTATTCAGTGTAAAGGTAGAATAGTTGCTTTGAAATCTAATTAAATTAGTGACCCATGGCTGTGTAAAGTCTAGACCTATTCACAGCAGCATTTTTTATACAGGAGAGTTACTCCTTACAAGAAAGATGATTTAAGTTGGGGAAACAAGAGTGCTTTTTCCCTACTGGTGATCACTTTGCTAAATATCCTGAAAAATGCAAGTATCTTGTTAGAACAAAAACTGTATTTTTTGGTGTCATTTTCCTCTATGACTTTTTTTTATTTTAATCTAGAGAAGAATTATATGAAGTAAAGTTATGAGCTTAACAGTATTAGAGAAGTTTGAATAAACTGTTTTTCTACCATTATAGCCAAGCCAATCAAATTCTATAAAATTCTGTATTAAAAAAACACCTTTAGTCAGCTTAACCTTTATGTTGGTAAATTACCAAATTAACCTTAAATGAGTTTAAGGGCATTTTTAGTGTCATCAGCATTAGCACCGATTTAGCTGATTTTTAAAATTGAGCTGAATTAAGCTTAGATGAGCAATTAGATTTGCAAATTTGAGGAAATCTTTTGAAAGTGCCTGAATGATTCAGCAGCCTAAATACTCTTCTGGAATATAATTGACGACTTCAGGGACTTTTTGCTACTTTTGTTGTGAAGTAGCAGTTTTGTACTGAGATGAGCAAATTATCTCCTGGGCTCGGCTGTGTGGCTGCAGCAGAGCTTGAGCAGCCCAGGCCTGTGCTGAGCACCACCTTCACTGGGTGCAGTGGGAGTATCTTTGAAAATCAGTCCAATGTTATTGTTACATCTCTATGTTTTTCAGTAATTCTGAACCTGATGTAGTCAGTTTTAATCCACTGGCTAAAATTTCAGATATTGACTCAGTTCCTTTGGTTCCATTTCACATGCTTAAAGAAACAGCAGTAGCTGATACTCCTGTGCCAGGAGTTTCTGAGCAAAAGATAAAGTTCTCTTTTCTTCTCTTGATGGTTGCTCCCTTCTTGATAGTCTATTTTTTATCTTTGGTGGAAATGATCAGTGAAAGTGACAAGTGTCCTGCTTTTTTGATTCACCAGCAAGGAAAAATTAATTTATTAACTGTCTGGTTTAAAGAAGCTGACTCCACCTTCTGAACTGACTTTTCACCATCCTATTGGGAAGGGGATGGCACTACAGAGCAGATTGAGTTAGGATCCCTGTGGAAGTCTTTGCTGCTGGGTGTTGACTGTTTTAATGGCCCACACTACTTCAGGTTTACCTTATTGTTTCAGGCATGTAGGAGCATTTCAGAAACTTTTATTTTGTTTATTTGCCAGTGAGTATAAATGTGTGTAAAGGGAGAAGTTAAAATGTGCTGCTTGAGGTGGTGGTGGGGGAAGAAAAAATATTATTGAATTAGATTGAAGCACTGAAAAATTTT